GAAAGAGTCAGGGATGCCTGGAGAAGATTTCCAAAAGGACACAGTCTTTCCAATGAGGCTAGAAAGATGAGCAGGGAGCTACTGGTGAACCAGAGTGGGAATTTCTTGGGAAGATGGAATGGAGGGGGAGGTGAGCACAGAGAAGTGTATTCTGTGGGCAGGGAATAGAACGATGTCATATACCAAGAAAAGAGGGCTGTGAGAGGGCAAAGATCAGGGCACCTACGTGTTAACATATAGACGATTCCACAAATACAATGAAGATACGAAATGAAAGGAAATTTCATGGAAAAGAAAATAGCGCTAGGATTTATAACGCCATCTGAGAAAAAAGATTTGAAAAGAGCATGAGAAGGATTTTGAAAAGTAACCATTTCATAAAGGTGATGATAGTTCATTATGATAGTTCATTATGCTGTGAAATGTATTTCTGAAAATGTTTACTCTTTCTGCTTTCCTAAATTTTAAATTTAAAAAGGTATATTCAGGAAAAGAATCACTTTTATTTCACGCTTATAATATATAAGTCAGAAGCAGAAATCTCTTTGGTCATCTTTAAAAACTTATGCTTATTAATTAATCTGGCGCTTAATCCTGTTAACTAATTTCTTTCTTTCAATAACCACATTTTTCATTTCTACTATGTTCTTCATCACATCTATTTCTTGTTGAATTACTTTCTGTGCCTGTTCCCAAGATGCAATTCTCTCCTTCATGATTTCGAGAAAACTAAACATATTTACTCTTAAGCTCTTTTGAGAAAAGGCGAGTCTTATTTTCCCGTGTTTGCATAACATTTCCCAAGAATCTTATTTTACCTTGTGTCTTATAATTTTTGTGTGACAGCTCATCTGATGTGAACTTTGTTCCCTATGTTGTGATTTGGGGATTGACATAGCCCAGCCAGGTGAGGTTCCCACTCTCCTGTTAGGGCCTGAGGTTGTTTCCCCAGAGGGGAAACTCCCACAAGACACCAACATGCCATGGAAGCACAGATCTTGATTTGGCTCAGTGCCTCTCCTTCCTCCCATGAGAATTCTGCCTGGCTCCAATTCCAGAGAAGGTGGGAGGTACCCTCTGAGAGCAGTGTGTAGATGAGGAGTGCTGGCCTCACGTATACAGGGCAGTCTGAGGCTCCTGACACATGTGGGATGATACGCCCCACCGTGTTCCTTTGCTGGCCCGCCTCACCTGCATTTCTCACGAGCAGCCCAGCTTCAGCCTCAACTCACCATCCTGCATTTTTCTTTCATGTCCAGTCTTTGGAGGCCTTCCACTTATGTTTAAGCTTGGTTCTTATCTTTAAAATTCATTTAAAAATATTTCAGAGGGAGGTTTTGTGCATGTTTCATCTGGACTTAAAGACCAATAAGAAGTCTTAAATTTTGGCTTTGAAACACTCAAAGCATTTCAAATATAAATATTTTAAAGGAGAAAAATGACCGTTTCTCAGTTAAAGGATGAGATACATCAAAAAGTCGAAGAATGAATCAGAGTGATTTAGATGCAACTTAATGAGCTCATATTTGCTCCAAAGAAAAACCTGCTTTCAAAGCTTTTAATAAGAACAAAAAAAGCCATAAGTTTTCTTGCTCTTTGGATTAAATAAATTGCAACCACTAATCACTTTATTATCAGAGACTAGAGAATAATTTTGAGGCATTCCATTAGTCAGTGTACTTGACTTAGATACGACTACTTTATGGTATATTTGTCAACTTCTTTTGGTATGTTAATCTTAGAGGATCCTCTTACTTTTCTTTTTGGCTGACCTTTCGCAGCAGGAAATTTCTAGGGAAATACATCATCTAACTGTTTATAGTTCAATTGTCATAGGTATGACTTTTCTAAAGCTAGTCAGCAAAAGAGAGCCAAATACATATAGCCTAACACATTTAGATTTTACAAAACACCTGCTTGCTTACCCCTCCCTTTATTAAGTATATATCATGTATAAAATGTGTTTTTAATCAACTAATATGTAGACTAAAGCCTGCGGTTTAAATATGTCGACCTATGCAGATCCTTTGGGGTTATTCAAATTTAAATAGTTCAAGTGTTACTGAAGTCCACAAAGACTACTGAGTCAGAAGTATCATAAAGGGAAAAGAAGCTGGGAGAGGGACTGTTTCCAAGGAGTACCAAAGGGACTGACAACACTTTTGAAGAGAGCCCAGGTAATGGAAAGGTAACAGAATGCAGTCCTCAACGAACCATGCGTCCATAAGCTTCCACTACGGGGACTTCTGTGAAGTTTTCTAGAATTTCGCTGTATAACTAACATCCTGTGTGGCAGTCGGCAGGTCCTATAACCTCTGGATTTTGACTGTGCTTTGTGCAAAAGAGAGATAATATTTTTTTGGCATAAAAATCTTGGGAGTAAGTGAATATAAGTATCTACTTCCCTATGGATATCTAAGGAATTCTACAGAGTGCCCCCCGAAGTTTTGTTTCCTGTTCTCACCTAAAAAAATGTCACTATATTTACATCTCCTTATAGAGCTGAGCTCTGTAGAGATCCAAGGATTCAGGCATGAGTGACCACACATGTGGAGTAAGGAGACTGGGCCTACCATCCCAGCTGAAGCCTCCTAAACAAATGACTCTTGGGCTCAGTTTTCCCATCCATAATGTGTGGATAATGATAAATCTACCTATCTGTGCTATTGTTAAGATCAGAGGAGAAAATGAACACCTACATCAGGGACAGTACAAATGTTTGTTGAAACCATGAATTCCAGGATAAGACATTCAGTTTGGTGTAAGTACCAGACACTATAAGGGCCTAACATCATGCCCCAGGCAGTCACATTCTCAAGCTTGGTGATGGCTTTTTGCTGCAAGCACTTGTTCCTTTCAGTTCCTGGGCTTCGTCTGGCCCCAGGCAGGGCAGGCTGGGGCGCTGAGAACAAGAGGAGGCTGATGCCCCCAAGAGCATCCCTCAACCAGCAACTACTTGCAGTTGGTAGATAAACAGCTCAGGTTCAGGTTCCTCACTTCCTGGGTGGGACCACTCACTCTGAGTCATGTTCCATCAAATCTCCCAGGGAGCCTCACTGGGAGGAGCCCAGGTGCCCACGGCAACACCCTGCTCATGACCACACCCTCTCTCCTTTCCTCCTGTCCCGCTTCCTTTTTCCCCTAAAGATGCTTCCCAGATCTCCTCCCAATTTAAATTCTGAGTCAGGGTCTTCTTCTGGGAGGACTCAAGTAAAACTTTGTCCACAGGCAACCTAATCCATTATTTTTAAGTATTCCTTCTTATGAGGAATAGCCAAGTAGAAGATTTTCTTGCTTTCGAAAGATATTTGCAAATAGAAGAGATTGTTTTCTCTTCTCCCATTTTCCCTCTATCTTTTTCTAGAGGTCACATATCTTCCAAATTCCAGGCTCTAAACCAGAACTGTCACTAGAACCATAATGTGAGCCACAAACGTAAGTCAATTTTAAATTTTCTAATAGTCATGTTAAAAAAAAAGTAAAAAGAAACAGGTAAAATTAATTCTACTAATATACTTTACTTAACTCAATATCCAAAATATTATTATTTCAACATGCAATAAATATCTAAAAACCGATGAGCTGTTTTACATTCTCTTTTTTTCTTTTTACTAAGTCTTTGGAATATGGTACGTGTTTTACATACATAACACATCTCAATTCCATCGGCCACATTTCGAACACTTGGCTGCTATATGCAGCTACTGGCTACATTATTGGACAGCACAGCATCAGAGTCTAGAACGGGGCCCAGCAAACTTTTTCTGTAAAGGGCCAGGTAGCAAATATTTTAGGCTTTGTTGGCCATATGCTGTCACAGTCACTCAATTCTGCTGCTGTTTTAGTGAGAAAGCAGCCATAGACAAATTGTAAATGGTTGGCAGGGCTGTTTTCCAATAAAACTTTATTTACAAAAACAGATGGTAAGTGACATTTGGTTCGCAGGCCAAGCTCCTTCCCTGGCCAAGGCACGTGCTCTTCCCTCTGGAATGCATCTGCATGGCAGGAA